ACTGCATGACGGAGCCGAACACCGCGAGTGAGCTTTAAAAACTCGCCCGTTCACAGGGCCGAGCCAGAGGAAATTCGACACGAATTATCTAGACCTCGAAAAAACAAAAAAAGTCCCACTCGCCCTCTGTGACCACGGGAGGCACCTTTTTGGCAATTGGTAGTAAGTCCCACTCGTGTCCTATTTGATTTGCTCCCACTGTGTGCAGTACTTCACCAAAAGTGGGATCGCAAAATTCTCTTTTTTTGCTACTATGCTACCGCTGTGTGAGTATGCCCTTAGAGGGTTTTTTTTTAAGTAATCTATATTCTTCTCTCAATCTATTTTCATCTTTCCTTGGTAGTACGCATCTAACTCATCCTCTCACTAGTCTATTTATAGTACGGGGGAACACCAACCAACCCGGATCTCTCCCCAGCCCACGGGTTAGGTTTGCACCACAGCTGTGGTGCGAGAGCAAGGCTGTACCAGTCCCTCATCACGGTGACGAGGGGTGGGCAGGCATTGCCGATGGGGGAAATGAGCGGTGCTAGCACCGAGCAATGACCAGTCACTGCACCTCCCCCTACCCACCCCCAACCCCACATGGCGGTGTCTAATGGCCAATATTGTCGCTGCATAGCAGCCAACAACATCAGCCAAGGTCCTGCCAATGCTGGCTTGGGGGGCCAAGGGGTTATCTCTAGCTGGTAGAACACCAAGCTTGCCCAGGCACGTACGTGAGGCCAATGGGGATTGAACCCACGACCTCCTGAATGCAACTTCTGTGCCTTACCAACTGATCTAGGCCCACTTGATTATGTTCGGGAAAAGAGGCATTCTGTCCAACGATTCCACCGCAGAATACTTTCCACAACAGAGAGCCAGTATGACTCGACCACTCTAAATAGTAAATAGTCCGTATGACAGGAGTGTGACTGCAAGCCCTTCAAACGAGTTAGTCTATCGGATATCTTCTGCGCCTCTTTTTCCCGATGCTGAATTCTGCTGCGCTCCTTTTCTTTTTTCACCTGACAAAGCCAGCCATTTCAGTCTAATACGCCGAGCCCTGAAGGAAGGTCACTGTGCGTCCACAGCCTCATTCAAACAAATGGCTCGTGATTTTAACGACACAAAAGTGTGGGATTCAAGCCTATAACCTGTTGGACCAGTACCTGGAACCGGCACCTTGCAGCACTCAGCCGTCTTGTCAACCATATACCACCATGCTTTGATTAAAGGGAAAAAAACAAAAAAAAACAAAAAAAATAAACACACCAGTACCTACCGCATTTTCCGTAACCCCCTTTGGACCGGAGAGGCAGCCGATTCGGCTTCCGCATTAACGGCCGCCCCAACCGGTAGGTACTGGTGGTTTAACAAGCTTGTTTTGAGTTATGAGCTAAGAATGAATTTGGACGGACGGCCGATTCGGCTTCCGCGTTAGCGGCCGCCCAACCAGTAGGTGCTGGTGGTTTAACAAGCTTGTTTGCGTTATGAGCTATGGCATGTTCGCGCTATGAGTTACGGAATTTGCTATGGCATGAATCTTATCACGAGCTCACGGTGCGTCTACGGCCTCGTTGGAACAAGCGGCTTGTGGTTTAATGACAAAAGTGTGGGATTCAAGCCAATGACCTTTCGGACCAGTACCTGGAACTGGCACCTCAGACCACTCAGCCGTCTTGTCAACCATATATACCACCGTGCTTTGATGTACACAGGCTTTGGTCTGAGTTCTGAGCTATGGCTTGCTTCAGCTATGAGTTATGGAGGTTGCTATGGCATGCATTGCATCATGAGTGCTCTATGCATAACGCTCTCTCCCTGTCTTTGGCCCGTGCACCATGGCCGTCTCTCCATCGCCTGTGCCGCCTGTGGGGCTGGGACTCATGGCTGTGGTTGACTAGTGGGTGCCGCCTGTGTATGACACGATTGTGACTGTGCGTCCTTCGAACCAGTCAAAGTCTCCTACCGACTGAGACTAAATCACTTCGGCCATGCCGTTTGGAGGATTTGAATTTTGAACACATGCCCTTTCGGGGGGAAAGTTCAAAAAACACATGGGCCCTTTTGGGAAAGGATTTTCTCCCCAAACACGTGCTACTGAACCACTCCAAATAATCCGCATGGCAAGAGTGCTGCTGCCAGTGATCACCATGGGTCTACTCCTTGGCCTCTACAACACCCTGGGCTTTATATTTGAAAAAAGAAAAGAGAAAAAGGAAAAAGAAAAAGAGAGTGTGACGAGATATCCTTTGAAAGAGTCATTAAACTAGCATCCCACCGACTGAGGCCTGGACCCCGCTGCATGGCAGCTGGAAACTTTTGAGCGGCTGGAAGAACGAGAGTCCAGTTCTGGAAAAGAGAACTTTGTAAAAATGAGCAGTTCATACGTGTGACTCAAATGGTTGCCCCAAAAATAAGAAATAAAATAGACACAAGGTAAAATCGTATATCAAAACGACTTCTGGCATCATCAAAAGGGACAGGGGTCAAAACTTCAATTGTTTGAGTGGTTTCCCTTTCCAGCAACTGTTTACTGGATTTTCGAGCAGACCCCACCGCCAGCGCAATTATTGGCACTGGAAACGGCCTCCTTTCCCAAATAGGAAGAGTCAACGGTGCCCCGCCCGAAAAGGAAAGGGTGGGGTGGGCGGTGGAACACCAGTCGCACATCCGATGCAGAGCTGGTGGGGACCACCGGACATAACCCGAGACCTTTGTTGGACCACCCAGTCTGGCGCTCCAACGCCAGCGGCTGGCATCCGCAGCCCCCGGTCCCATTTCCTTCCGCCTTTGGATAAACTTTAGCAGCACCTGGCAATGGTTTGTTCAGCCGCCAGCCGAGTAGAAACACTTTTCGGC